TCTCTCTCTCTCTCTCTCTCTCTCTCTCTCTCTCTCTCTCTCTCTCTCTGTGTGTGTGTATCTGTGTATGTGTGTAGTGGAACCTGGGACTTCATGTGTGCTAGGCAAATGTTCTATTGTGGGTTTAAATCCTACCCCCTAATAACTTTAGTTTTAGGTTCACAGCAAAATTAACAGGAAGAAGCAGAATTTCCCATATACCCTGGGACTTCCAAACATGCATAGCTTCTTACTTTGTCATACTGTCTACCTGAGTACTGAATAGTGGATACATCTGTTAATCATAACCCAGCCGGGCGGTGATGGTGCATGTCTTTAATGCCAGCCCTTGGGAGGCAGAGGCAGGTGGATCTCTGAGTGTGAAGCTAGTCTAGTCGACTAACCAGGTCTCAGGACAGCCAGGGCTGTTACACAGAGTAACCCTGTATCTAAAAGCAAAAAAAGGGAACTAGTTAACCCTACATTGACACACCATCATTACCTCAACGTGTCTAGCTCACGTGATATCTTACTCTCAGTCTTGTACATTCTGTGGATTTAGGCCAGTCTTTGATTTGTACTTGCCACTGTAGTATTGTAATCAGAATAATTTCACTGTCCCAACTATTCGCTAGACTCCACCTGTGTCTTTCTCCCTGACCCCACCTCCTGGCAACCACTGCTGTTTTTACTATCTTCTGAGTTTTACTTTTTCCTGCCCAGTCATGTGTTTCCCCATGTTTGAAACATTAGGTACCAAGGTAATTGAATATAGTCACTTAAGGTATTATTTCCACACACGTACACACACACCCACAGGCCATCACCACCTCATCAGGCCATCACCACTGCCAGTCCATTTTGTTCTGTTCTGTTTTGTAGGGCAGATGCTTTACCTGAACAAAGCCTTAGACTTGCCATGAGTAGCATCATGGGAATGCCAAGACACTGATTAATTTGTTTAATTCTTACCTTGCATGAAATGAGGAAGATTTTTTTTTCTTTTACTGGGGAAAGCCAACTGTTGTCACATTCCAAAAACTTGAGTTAGTTTTCTTATTTTTCTCACACACACACACACACACACACACACACACACAAAATTGGATGCTGAAAGTCACACAGTGCTTGTAGATTGTGCTTGTTTGTGATAGGGTTTTTGTTTGTTTTTTTCAAGACAGGGTTTCTCCCTGGCTGTCCTAGAACTCACTCTGTAGACCAGGCTGGTCTCGAACTCAGAAATCCGCCTACCTCTGCCTCCCAAGTGCTGGGATTAAAGGCGTGCGCCACCACTGCCTGGTTGTGATAGGGTTTTTATCCTCAACTATAGTGCTGACTAACAACCTGGGAGAGCCGGATCCCACCATAACAATGTAATTGTGCTGCTCTGATTGTTCCTGCAAACCATATGGATTCTGCTAATGATGGCAGCTGTTGTCAGTCTGACAGTGTTCAGTCAGCTGTGGTCATCGTCCTGGCAGGCTTTCTTTAGGGATCATAGTTTTATAAATTCTGTTCCTTCTTGGATTTGATAAACATGAAGGGGAGACAAAGCATTGTTAATGGATTAGTTAACCTATCAGTAGTATTAGCATTCATTCTAGGATAGCCTCTAGGTGTGGTACCAAAGAGAAAGGGTTAATAATAATAACATCTTATTGTTTTACATTGTTCTGTTGTTGGTTTAAAAATGTATTTTCTATTTTTCTTTAATAGTGGATAATGGTTCTGAAGATGGCTCTTTAACCAGGTAGGTAGGAATGTATAATGTTGTTAAAATTAAATGTTAATGGGTTAGAGAATACAGAGGAAAGAGACTAGGATTTGTTAAAGTGTTCTGCTTTGAGCTACATAACTATATTGTATAGTATGACTAACATTTATTACAGTGATCACAAGAGCCTTGAAATGGGGTCTCATATAATCCAGGGTGGCCTCAAACTTGTTATGTAGTCAAGGATGTCCTTCAACTTCTAATAGTCTGCTTCCCTCTCCCTAGTGCTGGGATTACAGTCATGAACCACCATGCCCAGTTTTATACTGAGAACTGAACCCAGGCTCTTTCATGCCAGAAGAGTGCTCCATCACTCCTCTGTCCTAGATGATATTTTAAATTGATTTGTTAACTTACAAGTTTCCCAGTGAGTGAGAGAGAGAGAGAGAGAGAGAGAGAGAGAGAGAGAGAGAATGAGGATATGAATGTTGAGTGTTTTTGGGTGTGTAACATATTGAGAAGGCTTGAGGTTGATAGTGGGAACCATCTTTGTTTGCTCTCGACTGTATCCATTGAGGGGAGGGGCTCTGAAGTAAACCCAGAGCTTGCCCACATGTCTGATCCTGCAAGCCAGCTCACTGTGGTGATCCTGCTTCCACCTTCTGAGGCTGGAATTGCAGAAGGGTTGCCACATCACTCTGGCGTTTCTGTGGGTTCCTGGGGACCCCACTTTGGTTGCTCTACGTGTATAGTGAGCCCCTCTGATTGCTGCAGCATCTCCCAGTTCACTTCTTATTTCCTTAACCATTTTTAACTTGTAGTTAGTTTTCATGACTATTTTTCTCAAATAAAATAAAATCTTCTTTCCCATTTTCTTTGTCAGCTAAGTATTCCTGATAATCTTTAGACAAAGTGAAAACCAATAGAATTTCAGAATTTTAAGGAAACTTAGGAGGTTTCTGCTAAAAACTATTAAAATAGTTTGAGCTTCTGGGTAGACTGTTAGTAGACAGGAATGTGGGTCCACATCTGCTGTCACCCCATTTCACAGAAGGTAGTGTAGAGCTCCCCAAGAATCCACGGTCTGGAGCTGCATGTGTCTGTGCCTCTTCCCAGCTCACTGATGTCCTTGTATGAGCAACAGAAGGGGTAGCGGAAGCATCTTGCAGGTGGATGTAGGTGATAGAGAGGTCATTCACAGGATGGAGAGTTGTTGCTTCCTGTCATTTGAGCCTATCCTTGTTTCAGGAGCTGTGCCTTTATAAGGTCAAAATTTAAAGGTTGAAAAGTTGCCATTGGGCCGGGCAGTGGTGGTGCACGCCTTTAATCCCAGCACTTGGGAGGCAGAGGCAGGCGGATTTCTGAGTTCGAGGCCAGCCTGGTCTACCGAGTGAGTTCCAGGACAGCCAGGATTACACAGAGAAACGCTGTCTCGAAAAACAAAAAAAAAAAAAAAAGAAAAAAGAAAAGTTGCCATTGAGCCCCACAGAAAAGAGACCTGGGAGGAGAGTCTATAGGGATGAAGATATTTAGGTGGTTTATAGGGAAGTAAAAGGTACAGTGTCTGGGTACCTAGGATTGGTTTCTGACAGAAGCCATCTAGGAATCGCTATAGCAAGTGAGTTTCCTGGAGGTGGCCCGTCATTTTGCACGCTAGAGAGGCATGACCTCAGAGACCTTGTCCCAGGATTGCTTCTCACTACTGATACCCCTTTCCTGCCACGATTACATGGCCTAATGAGTCTTGGGCATCACCCCACCCTATTGGACAAGTTTCCTGCAGATCAACATGAAGATGGACTTTCATGAATTAATGCTGTATAGATGGATTAATGACTTCATAGCATTCCTAATTTGATTCAAATTTTAGAAAGAAAGTTTAAAGAGATGGTCTTAGTTGTTTTACCAGAAAGATATACTAAAGTTAGAATCAAGAATAGAATGTGTCCCCTCCTTATAGAATAGTAAGTAAAGGCTGCATAATAAGGTATACCATGAGCTTTCATAAATTTCACTAAGATGAGAAATAGGCTTGAGGCAGATTTGTGATCAAGAAAAACCATTCATTCTAGGTCAGGTCTAAGGATAAAGCCACAGGTGTGCACTATGATAAAACAAGGCCAAGTGAAACTGTTGCTTTGAACTTATAATGAGCTTATAGAATAAAACACTGCTTTGAGCTTACTATTGACATCTTTCTGAAACTCCCTTTATCTGTGAGGTAATTTTATAAAGAACTTTAAGGCTGAGAATGAGTATAAAATAAAGAGTGGCAGTTGGGGCTCTGCTCCATCCACCAATGTATATAGACACTTTGTCTCTATGTATGCACAAACATATGTAGGTAGATAGGTATATGTGTATGTATATAAGTATGCACATGCACTTGTGAAACTGATGAAACAGGTGGTCAGGCCCGACCAGAGAGAGACAGAGAGACTTTTCTTTTCTCTCTGGCTCATGAAGAGTTAATGAACTCTGAGTTTCTCACCTGGCCAACCAGGTGCCCTTGAGCCAAAGAGAAAAGAGCCCAAGTAACTAAGATTTTTTTTTCTTTCTCCCCTGCTGCTATCAGCAGGAGTTAGATTGCCAGAAACCACTAGCTTCTGGCCCCAGAATAGCAAGAAAGTAAAATTGCCAAAAGTCAGCAGCTTTTGGCCCCAATTGCTGATACCATACACCTTTCCCTGCCTTCCTTGAGTACTTGGATGCAGGGTGGGCTATGGCAGGTTTCAAGGGACTGGTAGTTTATGTATAGTTAAGTTGTTCTGCCTTCGTGTATGCCTACACACCAGTAGAGGGCACCAGAGATTACTAGCCACCAACCATGTGGTTGCTGGGAATTGAACTCATGAGCAGCCAACACTCTTAACCTCGGCTCTGAGCCATCTCTCCAGCCCCAGTTTTCAGTGTTTTAATCTGTAGAAAATGTATTGTCAGCACAATAGTTTGTACTTAAGTTTACTTACATTTAATTTTCAAACTCTTTAAATATCTCATGGGATTCCCTATAGTGTTTTATGGTATCTGGAAGCTTTAGAGTGATAATTCTTACTATAGAGCCCTCCCTGGCCTGGCCTGCAACACTGTAAACCAGACTGACCTTCAACTTGTGGCAGTCTTAGCCACTTTGTGATTGTAGGCATGTGCCATCAGACCTGGCTTATAGGGTCTTAACTGGCCCATTCCAGGCTGAGTACCAAGGCTGCCGTTCCTTAGTCCCTCCTGAGGCAGGGCAGACAGTTTGACCCATGCTTTAGATATCAGATTCTCTTCTGAAGACAAAAGTGATGTCAGACACCAATGAGATTTCAGCAGAGCCATTAACACAGGCAGGTTTTGAAACCAAATCATTCATAGGCTCGCCAATATATTAACTTTCACAGTTTAATATGGAACGAAGAGTGAGTCTCGAGTATTTCAGAGTCAGAGAAGTGGAGACAGAAAGAGGCAACTGAAAGCTTTTTGAAAAGAGGTGAATTTGAATCACATCCACCAAGAGATGTTTATTATACTGATAACTGATAGATTCCTAGAATTCTGTTAAGCACTCACACACTGCTGGAGAGATGGCTCAGCAGTTAAGAGCACTGACTGCTCTTCCAGAGGTCCTGAGTTCAATTCCCAGCACCCACATGGTGGCTCACAGCCATCTGTAATGGAATACGATGTCCTCTTCTGTACATGAAAGTAGAGCACTCATAAACAAACAAACAAAAAACCCAAACAAATTAAAGAGCTTGTCTTACAGTTTTTGTTGGCTGTTGTTCTAAGGTCTTCTAACACGCCTGATCCTGCTGATTCCTGGCCCACATCAGATGAGGATGACTATAACTTTGATACCAAGGTAAAATGCAGTTTTGTGAAAATAATGGTTTTGTTTTAAATTTGTTTTTCTGAGTGTTCACTCTTAAAGTTTAATAATGGTCTATCATTGTTTTTTTTTGTGGAATATTGATCGGAGAAACATTTTGTAAAACAATGACTTATTAAATTATTATTTATTTTGGTGACTATCAAAGACTGATCGTTCCTTCGGGAGGTAGAGGCTGGGAAAGTGAATGAGCTGGAAAATCCATAAAGATGACAGGAAATTTCCATCAGGAAAAACTTCCTACAATACACAAAACAGGAGATTGGATCAAGAATTACTTTAGTAAATATACCTTATTATGACTTGTAAATTATATGAGTCTGACTATTATACCCAAATTAAATCCCTGGGCCCAGTTAGTAGAGTGAATCATGGACTCTCCATGGTGACTTTGGTTTTAGGAGTATAAACACATAGCATGCAGTTTCCGTGTATCTTTTTCCTCAGACACCTCTTAGTATGATACAGTTTTTAGGTGAACTTTTTTTCTTATTTCTATCCTTGATCTGAATGTAAATTACCATACTATCAACAACTGTAAAAATATGCAAATTTAAATTAGTTTATTACAGTCTATGCCCCATGTCCTTCCCTCAGGACTGTTACACGTCTTCATCTGTAGACCTGAAGAGTGGATGTTCTGTCCCGAACAAAGTCCCTTGAATTTCTAGAACCATGATTCACCTTTATATTCCTTTTACTGTAAACTCACATGCATTATATTGAGGAAATGTCACATATAAAAACCATAAGGTCCATTGAATTCTTAAAAACATGCTCACCTTGTGATGTTTAGATACGAACTTGCATGACACTGAGGAAATGTCATGTTAAAAAGGCAGAAAACAAAAACAAAAAACAAAAAAAAAAACCCAGATTAGAGGAGTGTCAGGAAAAGGAGGGAGACAGTGCATACCCACTGTCTGAAACTGTGGACTTTGAACACGAATGAGAGTAAGATATCTTTGCCTTATTGGATTAATTAATATATTTTTGAATCTATATATTACCCATAGAGTTCTAATTAGCAGCTCTTCTCCAAGTAGGAATAATCGAGCACTGCTTTTCCCAATGTCTTCTTTATCTAGTAATGATGTTACATCTCTCAGGTAATGGTAGCTAAACATGGTTAAGCTTATAGTACAGAATTAACTTTTTATTATATTAATGTCTTCAAAACGTAACTACTAATCATTATTAGGGACGTGCTATGAATCAAGGTTCTCATGCTATGCTGGCTAGTTTTATTTCAACGCGACACAAGTTAGAGTTACCTGAAAGGGGGGACCTCAATTGAGAATGTGCCTCCGTAGGATCTGGCTCTAGGGCATTTTCTTAATTAATGGGGGTGGGTCCAGCTCATTGTGGGTGGTACTATCTCTGGGCTGGTGGTCCTGGGTTCTATTAGAAAGCAGGCTGAGCAAGCCACGGGGAGCAAGCCAGTAAGCAGCACCCTTCATGACCTCTGCATCAACTCCTGCCCCCAGGTTCCTGCCCTGCTTAGGTTCCTGTCCTGACTTTCTTCAACGATTAACAGTGTTGTGGAAGTGTAAGCCAAATAGACCCTTTCCTCTCAAGTCTCTTTGGTCATGGTGTTTCATTGCAGCAGTAGTAACCACTAGGACAGGCTTTTCTCCTTTCTTCTTCATTTAAACTCATTCATACGTTCCCTCCCTCCCTCCTTCCGTCCTTCCCTGCTTTGTGATGTAACTTCTCTGTAGCGTGCACCTGACTTCAAGACACATGCATGACACTTGTCTGTGATGTCTTCTATGTTTTCTCCATGGTTGGCATGTTTAGTTACACTTCTGTTCGGTCCCTACATGCAGTTTTGTCCCACAAGATTTATTCTTTTTCCCTCCTCTTTGTTAGAAAGAGCTAAATGTGTATAATAATTTGCATGTTACTTTTGGCACACAGGGTAGAATCACTTATACTGTTTGCAATTTCAACCCATGAGCTACAGAGAGTAAGCCCTCATAGTACTCCTTTAGAAGCAGCCATGCAAATACAGGTCATGGTGATAGGTTCAAGGTATTTTAAGTTTCTTTAAATGCTAGTGTTTTCAGAAGTACTCTAAACTGTGAATACATTTTTGTTCTAGGTTATTTTATCTAAGTCAGATACTCAAGGATGTCATAAAGTTTGTGAGGAGAGTGAAATTTGACGATATTCCTATCCCACAGTGCTAGTGCAGTTCAAGTATGCAGACTAGTAAATGCCACAATTAATATTTGAATCTACCTTAAGGATTCAGAAACATACTCTTGCTGTTAGATCTGATAGAGCGAATATTATATTTACTTTATTATCATGTTATTTTCAAAATTATTTTTGTTTTTCTAGAATGTCCCCAAAATTAATTTAACGGAGTTGTGGACCGCTGCTCAGCAGTCTAAGGAAAAACGTAAGTCATTTAAAAGACGGCCTGTTCTTGTGCCGTTCATCGATTTAAAAGTATTTTCATGTATTCTTTATTTTTCATAATAGAAACAAAATGTGGCTTTGAAGAACTAGACAATAGAGCCCTGTTTGACGATAGTAATTCCACTAGTGAAAATGACGACGCCATTGAGATTGAGCCTGCATCATCAGCCAGAGTCCAGACCCTCTCTCCGTCCTGTCAGTCACCCGACCCTGTGGTACGTACATTCGCTTATTTTAAAAACTCAGGCATACCTTTTGACTGTTTGGGGGTGGGAGGGAGCTCCTTTCTCTTTCCATGTAAATACTGGGTCATAATTCTCTTTTTGTTGCATGTACATATGCATGGTGGCCAGAGGCATCAGACGCCCTGGACTGGAGTTATGTATGGTTCTGAGCTTCTGTGTGGGTGCTGAAAATTACAGGTGTGTCTTCTGAAGATACTAAGTGCCCCTAACTGCTGAGCTGTCTTCCAGCCCCATGTCCTCCTCTGAATGCACTCTTTGAGTCTGCCTTCCAGGTCCTTGGTCCACCTCAGACCGAGGGCACTGACCTTTCTCTTACTGACTATGGCTTGTGTTACTCATTTTCACCAAACAGTGACTAGCAAGCACCCTGAGAGCTGCAGGGAGAGTGAAGTTGCTGTTTTCTCCCCCATAGGAAGGAGCAACTGAGCCAGCAATTGAAGGAGAAGAAAACGGTACCGATATTATTGAGAGCGCATCACAGGAACAGCCAAATCATGGCAATTTAACCCGTGCTGATGGTTGGCACAAAAGTAATAAAAGTGGTGAGTGAGTGAATACTTCAAACATTTCCATGCTTACATATTGTCATAAAGCACCGAAGCATTTAGAGCCAAAGCCAGTATCTGTTTATTCTAAATGCTCTTCCTTTCGCTCTTTCTTGCTACTACCAATTCTGTCTGAAGCTGCTTCAACCCTCTGAACTCCTTTCTGCTCTCATCTTTATTGTAATTCTGTGGATATAGATTAAACATGCATGCATTTAAAATTCAGCGATACGTGTTCTCATTAATGTGTATGTGACTGTGTTTTGCAGAAATGATGTCTGCGTTAGGATTAGGAGAAGATGAAGATGGAGACTCCCCTTGGGATTCTGAGGTATGGACAGCACATACACAGACCTGCTCACTCTCTCACCTGCGTGTGCCTTCGAGGGGCCGCTTCCTCTCATCCTCAGTCCATCAATAATACTTTTATACCAAGTACTGCTCACAACACAATTCTGCTCATCTGTGTCCTTCAGTTAAAGATGTAGAAGTCAGAGAAACCACGTTGGACTAAGTTTAAGTACAAATTAAAAGGTCATGTCAACCTGTGACCGGAAAGATTCTGTGATGGATGTGGGTGTGTGCAAGTCCTATGGGATTCCGAGGGAAAGTGTGAACTGTGAGTTTTTACCCCTGAGACCTGAAAAGATAACTGATGGGACATGGAGTGCCATTCAACCTGGGTTGTAAAGTATAAATCCTCAAGGGAAATATCAGGAGAAAGAAAAGAATCAGTGTAACTTTGTGGCTGTAGCAATTTTTCTTTAAATTTGTTTTAACTTAATTTATTCTGTAATAGATTTAAATCATCTTCAGATGTGAAGTGCATTTAGTACCAGTGTAGGATCTATCCGCCTGTAACAATCCATTTTAATGACACCACCATAGAAAGAGATGGGGGTGGCTTGGAAGTGTAGCAGCTGTGCATACTGGAACCACCACAGTAAGAAGACATGGTCATACGTGGTTCTAGCGTTTACTATTTATAGAAGTTGGGGGGAAGTTAACCTATTTGACCGTCAGAGCTTTGTCCATAAAGACATAGGATGCACAGGTGAGGTGAGAACATAGACACATCCTGTGAGGAGTGAATGCATCCACTCGTGTGGCAGCTGCACGATCCTAGTGTTCCTCAAAACAAAAGAGTAGAGATGTAGTGTCAAGGAAAGGACGGGAAGGCGCAGGGACACTCACATCTTCGTTTTGGAAAAGTCTCAAATCAACGATTGAGGTAACCTGGAAGATACAGTGATTTATTTATATTATGTATGTGAGTACACTGTCACTCTCTTCAGACATACCAGAAGAAGGCATCAGATCCATTTACAGATGGTTGTGAGCCACCACGTGGTTGCTGAGAATTGAACTCAGGACCTCTGGAACAGCAGTCAGTGCTCTTAACCGTTGAGCCATCTCTCCAGCCCAGTTCTTTATCATTTTATTCAACCATTTTTTTTCTGACTGTAAAATTTCACACAAAATTACTTAGATTTTTCCAAGCCGTGGTTTACCTAAATTCAGCAACTTCTACCATGCCCTCTGTGTAATCATTGTGAAACACTCTGAAGTTTCTTACCATACAGGCCAGGTTTCTTATTCTGACTTTATACATTTCTGTCATTGGACATATTTTAAATGTTTCATGCTTTATTAAAGCAGGTGATCTTACAAGAATTTCTTAAGATACCTGTTTTCTTAGTTGTCTTCTTACACTGCATGAAGAGTGAGGAGCAGTGCTAAGTGTTCTAAGCTTAATTGCTTGCTGAAGCATGAAAGCAAATTAATTTTTTATAAATACACTCCTCTGACCTTCCATGCTTGCCTTCATAGTTGGTAACCAGACAAAGAGCGAAGGTGGGTTTGATCTAGACATGCAGTCTTCTTTATTGACAGGGTTCTTTTCAGTGCATGCTTCTTATTGTTCTGACAGAGTTTAAACAAGAAACCGAAGCATCATCGTAGAAAACGATTAAGAAATCTCTGTGTAACTCGTTTTGATATCTGCTCCAACAGAGTATCTCCGAGAGTGTTTCACTGAGAGACATAGGTCACTTATCTGGGACTGCAGATCACACTGGAAAGATACATGGACAGATAGAAGGTAAGACGGGATTGTGTCTAAAAAGTCAATTGTCAGATGTCTATTTAGAATATATGACAGATGTCTATTTAGAATATGATATGTTTTCAGCTGAGGACAAATACTCGTACTTAGAAGTAAGCAGTGGAAAGTTGTAAATTAATTTCCAAGGTTCAGCAACAGAGTGAACTGTTCCTGACAGCTAGGCTGCACTGCTTGTTCATTTGAAGCTATTCTGAAGCTTGGAGGAAAGGACAGGAAAGATAAGAATGGCAGAGAGCACAGAGGGCAGGCCAAGGGCAAGACAAGGGTGTGTGTCTTGGTGGGTGGCAAAGTACAGTCATTCTGTAGCTAAGAATGCAGCAGAGATAGAGAAGAGTATGGAGGAAGCTTCAGTACCGAAGGCGGGAGGGTCAGCGTGAGCTCCGCTCCTTTCTGGCTGTTGAGAAGAGCTGGGTCAGAGTGCCTGACCGTGCAGAGCTACTGCTGTTTCCCACAGACACACACACAACCTCGTGTTACCTACTCTTCTCGTCACCTGACCAAGTGACTGACATGAACCAGCATAGGGATTATTTAGATGTGCAGCTTACTAAGCGGTCCAGTCTTTCCTCAGGGAAGGAAGCATGGTGGAAGGGTACAGACAGCTGGCCTCACAGTGTCTGAAGTTAGGAGGTAGAGAAGGGCCAGGACGAAGGCATTAAAACCTCTGGACCCACTCAGACCCTCTTCCTCTGGCAAAGCTCCACCTTTCAAAACTCTCAGAAACAGTGCCACCATCTGGGCGCCAAGAGTAACACACAAACTGTGTGGATGGCTCACTGTAGCCAGTTGCCCGTGTGTGATGGATAACTTAGCCTCTAAAGACCAAAAACCATAGAAAGAAGAAAACAGTGAGATTGGTTTTAAAGAGTTCAGGGAAGCTACGTCCTGACAAAAGTCCATTAGAAGGGTGAGCTCTGCTCTTTCTCTGGGGAATGATAGGAACTCGAGGTTAGTTTCTAAAAGAACGTTGAGCAATAGGAATTTAGAATTAGGCTCATCATAGAGCAGTTTCTTGAACTTTAATGAATCAGTTGCTGGTATCAACACAAAATACCAAAGGAATCAACCGTTATACTGGAGCCAGGCGGGATTGTTGATGACTTCCAGTGGGATAACAGCTTCATGGAGTTTTTATGCCAACAAAACAAACCAAGCATAAGTCAACATGCTTTAAAAATACATGATGGAGCCGGGCGGTGGTGGCGCACGCCTTTAATCCCAGCACTTGGGAGGCAGAGGCAGGTGGATCTCTGAGTTTGAGAGTTCGAGGCCAGCCTGGTCTACAGAGTGAGTTCCAGGACAGCCAGGGCTACACAGAGAAACCCTGTCTCGAAAAAACCAAAAAAAAAAAAAAAAAAAAAAATACATGATGGAAGCTGCCTCTGTTTGCCTATTTGCTGTACAAGTATGAGGACCCGCATTCAATTACCTAGAATTATCTTTGGCCCTCATTAATAAAATTACCTGCTCCCCAAAAGGGAAAAAATAAAACCTTAGGTGGCATTTACTTGTAATCCAGAACTGGGGAGAGAAAGACAAGCAGATTACTAGAGTTGGTGAGTACCAAGCCAGTGAGAGATTCTGTCTCAAAATTTCTCTACACTAAGAATCTCTCTCTCTCTCTCTCTCTCTCTCTCTCTCTCTCTCTCTCTCTCTCACACACACACACACACACACACACACACACACACACACACTCACACACACCATAATAACTGGGTAGGGACCTTAGAGGAAAGGGCTACAGACAAGCAGTGAAGTCTCTACTCTAAGCTTTGGATGATATCTAATAACGCTCTGAGCCTTTGAGTTGGTGGGCGCTAAGGGGTCTGTACATTTCAAAAGGGATTATCCTTGTGAATCACAAAGATGATGGGCTAAGTACGGAGATGGAATAAGCTGCTGGCTGTTTGGGGCTAGAGGTAGCTCAAAATCCTTTGGCTCTGGACCTACATAATTCCGATTCTCGATAATATACGTTGATACTTTAGTCAGCCCTGTGGAATGTTTAACATAGTGTGGTTTATTTCTGTAAACTTCAGTTCCTACTTTCTTATGTTGACCAGCGACTTATGTCAGATCCTGAGGTCGGATTTGAATGGTCATTAAGTGTTAAAGACAAGTCAGGATGATTTGGTTCTGGCCCTGTAATTATCCTTATGTCTACAGTCACAGTTCCCTGTCAGCCACTGGAGTCCTTAACACAAATGTGGGTTTTGTTTTTTGTTTGTTTGTTTGTTCCTGAGAATGTTAGTCCACAGTTCTCCCAGTTGGCCAAGCATCTAATTTTCTGCAGTCAAAGGTCAACTATGCTTTTATGTCCTGTGGTCCTGGGAAGATTCACTCATAGAGTCTGACAAAGATGAGAATGCATAGCAGAAAAACATCTTCAGGAGAATGGTGGGTAGAACTCTAGAGAAGAAACCTTAGATCCTATCAGGTCTGTCAACCATTATGATCTGAGTTTGATTTATTTATTAATTTTCCCTCTTACCTTACAAAACATATCCATGTGACACACAAATATAATAGGAATATTATACCTGTAGTTAAAGAATCAAAAACAGTATGGCCTTAAAAAGTAAAGGCTGGAGTGAAGGAAATGGTCATTTTTTAAATATCTATTTTGTCTGAGTGCTCTATCTGCATGTATACCTGCACACCAGAATAGGGCATCAGATACCAGTAAAGATGGCTGTGAACCACCATGTGATTGATGGGAATTGAACTCAGGACTGCTGGAAGAGCAGCCAGGGTTCTTAACCACTGAGCCATTTCTCCAACCTGGAAATAGGCATTTTTAACTATATTTAACTAATATATATATATATCACTCTTCGAGCAGCTACACTGTATTCTCCTCTTATACCCTTAGTCATTTGTATTCTGTAAACTGTTTTGTTTGAAGTTCATAGTATTTCAAATGATTTATTATTTGGTCTTTTTTTTCTGACCAGTTTGAATCCAGAGACCTGATAACCTCATATGGATTGGCTAGTTCCAATTTTAAAAAAGATTGGCCAGAATATGATTACTGTTATTCTTTTTATATAAAGATTTACTTTTGTGTATGTGTGTTTACCTGTGAGAGTTTATGTGCACCACATGTGTTCTGGAGTTCACATGGAAGCCAAAATGTGGCATTGGATCCCTTAGAATTGTACCAGGTGGTTGTGAGCTGCCATGTGTGTGCTGAAGCCCAAAACAGGGTCTTCTGAAAGAGGAGTAAGTGAGCTTAACTGCTAGGTCATCTCTCCAGCCTCATATAATTATTTCAGGTTAATTATCTCATCCGTCCTATTAACTTGGTATTATAGCACATTTTAGTTTTGAGTAATTAAATGGAAAGTCACATTACAGAAGAAAGCAAAAATAGTATACTTTGAGTTTTAATTTCCTTTTAACGAAATTGCCTATTTTTGTGTACCAGATATTAGTGACAGAAGAGACCAGACATTAAAATTTCATAGGTTTTATAGGTATAGCCAAGTCATATTTTTAAGTAGAAAGAGAAATAAATGGTCTATCAATGAGTCTTTGTAATACCCATCTTTCTGTCATTGGTGAAATAAGAATATTATTTAATTTTAAAAATACAAATTATAGTAAATAATGCAAGAGTTCTTGTTTACAGGTGGTGACAAAGGCAGACTCTTTAAACATGTGGACTGTTTTCAGGTAGTTTAGAATGCCTAAGTAATTAGACATAACAAAACCATGATTGATACAGGACATGATGTCTTCATTGGTGACTTACTAAAACCATGATTAACATCTTGTCACTTAGGAATATATTAACGAAAAACTTAATACCTGAATATTGAAGTATTTAAGGAACATAAAAAGTAAGAGAATTTTGTTACAAGGGTTTTGAGTTCAGTTACTTGAGGTGGTCATTAGTCAGTGAGTTGAAGATAAGTGTCCCCAGCTTTTCCAAAGTCCATGTGGAGGAGCTCTTAGAGGCTGGCACACGCTAGAGGTGAGAAAGATAAGGTTCAGAGTCTACCTCATGGAGGCTTGCTGTACAGGAAGTAGGCAGAGGTCCCGTGTGAGTCCTTTCTTTCGACTCTGGATGAAGTCTTTGAGCTGATTTCTTTTCCCAATTGATGGTGCCACCTGGTTTTAGCTCTCATTCTGCCAGTTTTTGTCCCCTGGAAGCTCACTTTGGAAAGATGCTAATCAGTTCTGGGTTTTTAATTACCTCATTTAAAAGCCCCTTATAATTGTGTCTACCTTCATTTTATTTTTAAATATTTTTAATTCCTTGAAAAATGTTTATGTATGTGGTAACTCCTAGTGTAATTTGGAAATATTTATCTTATTTACTGGCTTAAATTTTTTTTTATATACTATATTTTAAAAGTCAAAAAATAATAGCAAAATGGAAATATAAACAACCATGAACTCCATTTTTGTGTTGGCAACTATTCCCGAGCATGGGACCTGCTCTGGAGTGTGGTTGACATACCTGATTTACCACATTGGAGAACACTGGTTTTCCCTTTTCTAGCAGGTATAAATTGCAAACAGCTTCTTTGTTAGAAATAGAATTTGTGTCTTCTTCGTGGCAGGTTTGGTCTGGCTTGACCATATGCATGTCCCGTGTGTATTTTCAAAGTCTCTGAGTTCCTATTTTGCCTGTTGTGTCTAGAAGATGTTATTTTCCTGCAGTTCCCCACCCGCTCTGGCTCCTAGAGTCTTCCTGCCTCCTATTCTGCATAGATCTCTGAGCCTTGAGAATACGGCTTTGATAAAGACACTGATTGCATTTACAGCTAAGTGCTCCAAAATCTCTTCACTGTCTGCACAGTGTCCGGTTCTAGGTCTCTGTGTTAATTTCCATCTTCTGGACAAAGAAGCTTCTCCTCCCATGAGGGTTCAGCCACTAATCTCCTATCAGATTTCTTGATGACAGCTATTCTGATAGGGTAAAGTGGTATCTCAAAGTAGTTTCCCTGATGTCCAGGGATATTCAAGACTTTTAAAAATAGTTATTGGCCATTCATGTTTCTTCTTTTGAAAGCTACCCATTTTATTAGCCTATTTGTTAGTTGGTAATCTTGGTTCTTTGGTATGTAACTTCTGCAGGTCTTTGTAAATTCTCAATATTAGCCCCCTATTTGGATAGTTAGTAAAATAGCCTTCATATATAGCAACAGTATGCTCTCAGAGAAGGAAATTAAAAAAAAAAAAAAAGACCCACTTATGCTAGCTCAGAGGAGTTAAGAGTACATGGAATATACCTAACCAAAGAATGAAAGACTTTCCCCTGAGAACGTCAGGACCCTGAAAAGGGGAATCCAAGCAGATGCTAGGTGATGGAAGAGCTCCCACGGCCCTGGACTGGCAGAGTGGCTATTGTGACAATGGCTCCATGTTGGATTGACATACTGAATTTTGACCTTGGAAACCTTGAATTTTATGTGCAATGGTGTTTTGATGGCATGTATGTCTATGTGAGGATGTGATCCCCTGGAACTAGAGTTAGAGACAGTTGTAAGCTGCCATGTGGGTGCTGGGAATTGAACCCAGGTCCTCTGGGAGAGCAGCCAGTACTTTTAACTGCCGAGCCACCTCTCCAGCCCTAACATTGGGAATTTTTAATAACCTTTAATTAGAGTTAACTTAGTTGTTATATCCACTACATATTTTCAAGTGTTAACTTTTCAAAACTCTTAAGGATAATCTTTAGCCTTCCAGTTGTTTATCATCTATTTTCCTTTTCAAAAAATCCTTTACTTTAGGTGTCTTATATTACCACACAAATCCTTTTCACATTTAAAAGCATTCCTTTTCCTTTAAGAGTTAACCCAAAAGAAATTTTATAACTTCTACATTGCTTTTTCTTACTGACTGTTCCTTCAGTCTTTTTGTTTTTATATAATTAGAAAATATTTCTAGTTTTATTCTAAGTAAAACCCAAGGAGTTGTATATGAAACACAGGAAATGTGGATATTGTGTTTTGAATATGTAGGAGTTATGAATACAGACCGAGCATGCTTCCAGTTAGGAAGTTCAAAAGGAAGGAGAAGTAGAGATTGTAATTCAGAGTTATTGCTGAATACAGAGGAAAGAAGGTTCTGGAGTAACCTATAGAAAACGTGTAAAGTGAAAGTCATGCATGTCAAGATCTAGAGATCACTTGAGAGGAAGAGTGACTTGTGGAAAGGCGTAAGAAGCCAGGCACTGTTGGAGCTGACACAGGGGTGCTAGGCAGCTCATGCTGGACTCTGGTTGCTTCAGCGTAATTTTACTTCAGTGTAACTGGAATTCAGAAGTGGTGTTAGAATTTGTTTTACCATAAATAGCCTCACAGATGTCATCTGAACAACTAACAGGCACCAGAGGCCTGAGTCTCATTAATATGTTACTTAGATTAGATTACTTAAAAATGGAAACCTTTCTTGTCTTTCGAGATAGCTAATTTTCTAAAGAAGTAATTGTTTCATGAAGATCTATTAAAGACTAGCATAGTAACAGCTAAACCAAACTGATTTTTAAAGCAAAGCATTATGGTTTGTTTTTTAATTATTCTACATAAATAAATTTTGAAATAAAAGTTTATTCTCTGGTTCTAATATCTGATGACTCAGTTTACTTTTCCTTCTTGATAATCATTTAATATTAAAAACATGTACGTTATTTCTTAGATGTGACTTATATACCTTCTTGCATGAGTGGATCAAGAAACTTTAAGATGGCTAAACTAGAGGAGTCAAGAAATGTAGGCATTCCAGTAGCCCACATGGGTATGGAAAAAAATGGTATTTTTATTAACTATTATTCTACAAGTATATATCTAAATCTAATGGATTTAAATAATCTTCTCTGGTAAGAAATTAATTATATGATCAACTGAACTATTAATCTCTTTGTACTTTCAAAATTATGGGGCAAACTGAAAAACATGCTAAATGCTTGTAGTATAATGTAATAAACCGTTCTGGTGTGTTGCATTAAAGGCACGCTTCTACCATCGTCTCTGAAATGTATCTTCACAGTCATGGCTTGTTTCTCTAACTAGCGATCATGCTTCTGTCTGCTCATCAGCATGTTCACATGGGCAGAAACACACGTCTCTATTTTAGTCACAGTCACTAAACACACCTCACTTTGAGTTCTAACTGCATGTTTTGTCAAACATACCCTCTTGTTCTTTATTGAATATATTTCTGATACGTGGGTGGCCTTAGCAGGGGGGATGGGTAGCAGAGACGATCATTTTCAAATGTGTCATGAGGGTTCAGCGCCATAGCAACTGCATAAATCGATGATTGGCTCACTGTATATATATATATATATGTATATAATAAATTATATATATAATAAATTATACATTTCCCCTTTGCTTTTCAGAGGCCCCCAGAAAATATCCAGTGATGGAGGTATAGTAATGTTTCATCATGAGTTTTCACAACATGTTATATGGAGTATACATTGTTAAATACTGTTTTCTAACCCATCCAGCCTACCATTGAAAGGAGGGCTCCTGTTCTGAACAAAACCAAGACAGTGGGAATGAAGGATGTACAAACGTTGAAATCAGGTAAATTGTAGAATACTCTAGGGGAAGTGCGTTACACACTGGAAATGCTCAGTCTTCTGATTCCTAAACAGTTTTTTCCTCCCAGTTTTATTAGAAAGACTTGAAGTAAATAAAACAGCATTGTTTTTGGTACCTGTTATTGCTAGGTACCATACTGTCACCTTTGAAAGCCAGGAGTTACTTTAATTGCTTAGGGGCTTCAACTAGGTCAAACTCAGGATTTGTGGCTTTTACATAGAAAAGAGTGTTCAAACTAGCCAGGATGAAACAGAATTGAGGTTTGGTTTTTTTATTTTATTTTATTTTATTTTTTATTTATTTAAAGACACTGAAGAAGTGAATAAAAGCACACCCGAGCATGAATATGCATGTTTCGTTGAGCTGTGATTAACAGACATTTTTAATGTGGCTCCTAAGCAGAGGAGTTAAAAGAGACGAGACACATAGGAAAGAAGACATGCCCACGTGTGGGTGTGGGCTCATCTGGAGGATCCGAGGGTGGAATCATTAGCCATGTCACTTTGGTGGCTCTCAAGTTACATCTCAAAGAGTTGTTTGCAAATCTTGTTTTTTTTTTTCTTATATTTTCTTCTTGTCTTGACAAATAAGATTATAAAGTGGCTCTAGGGGTCCCTTGAATGGAATTATGATCTGATAAGGTAAAACCAGGGCCGTGTAAGGGGGCTATATCTTTTAGTGTAAATAGGATTTCTGGTGAGACTTCCAGAAATCTGTAGGTTTACAGCTGAGAAAACAGAAGTCTCTAATGCAGTGGTTCCCAATCTTCCTAATATTTTAATACAACCTTAATACAGTTCCTTAATACAACCCTTTAATATAGTTTTTTATGTTGTAGTGACCCCCAACCATAAAATTATTTTGTTACTACTGTTATGAATCATACTGTAAAATCTGACATTCAGGATGTCTGATATGCAACCCCCATGAAAGGGTCATTCAGTCCCCAAAGAGGTTGTGACCCACAGGTTGAGAAACAGCTCTAAAGCAAGTGATAATTGCGCTGCCTCTGCTTCTCAGCTAACTAGCCTTGTAGCCACATGCTGTGCTGGTGGCTTCTTTCTTTTTCTCATGTCCCCATAATTGTCAGTGTCTATCACTCTTCTGCACAGGGTGGGGCTACAAAGCACACCACCACAGTGACACACTTCCTCCAACAAGGCCACACCTCCTAACAGAACCACTCTCTAAGGGCCAAGTATATTCAAACCACCACAATGTCAAATGACTAGAGGACTTTAGTGATGAAATGGTTCTTACAGTTTCATTATGTTTTCCCTTTTGTCTTAGAAAGCTTAAGGCTGGCCACTCTGCTTAGAAAGGGAAAAAGAAACAAATACTTCTGTTGTGTTTGTATTTCCTGTCTCCTGTTTACCACCCTGATTTTATGTGGAAGAAGATTCATTCTGTTTTTACATGGGAGACAGGAAATCATTTTGGATATCATTTATTCTTGTAAATTTGTGATGTTTATCCCTGTCTTAGAAAGGGAACTCTGAAAATACTTGGTATGCATGAAATAAATGGTTCTAATAGAGAAAGAGAGGCTAGATAATTGAACACCTGTGAGTAAACGGGAGACGGGGCCTGGGACAGACAGTGATCCGTGGTGAGTGTCGAGTCTGTAAGGTGAAGGAGGATATAGCACTACTTCAAGAAAAACTTTGTGCAAATTATATTTGTATCATTTATGTCCTAAGAAGTGAAAACTTTATGCTCAGATTTATCAGATTGTAATCCTGATTTGACCTTGCCTAAGACTCATCAAAGGTTTTATTAAGCTGATAATAAAACTGTGTTTGTAGCATAGTCAGGGTCAAAAAACTCAGGTGCCATGTACAGAACTTGCAGAGCTGTCCTGAGGAGGAAATGGAATGACGAATAGTGGATGTATCTTTTCCATTAGGAAATTATATTCTGCATGGCTTGTGTGAGTCGTAGCAGACAGACAACAGAATAAAGAACTTTCAGCTCTAGAGTACTGCATATCTTTGTAATGCTGTAGATATCATTTTCACATTTTTTGTTAACATTAGAAATGAATGAATTCCCTTAACATAGGAAGATGTGAGGCCAAGCTACAAAACAAACACATGCTAACAGTTCAGATGGTTTCTTTTCACATGATATTTGATACTTTTTGCAATGAAAAGAATCTAACATTTAAGAACTAAAATTTGTACATTTCTTTGTTAAATGAAATTTTGTTCTATTCTAGGCCTGGATAATGTCATGTCCTAAATATTTCTGGAAACGTTCCCTCAGTCCAGCTCCCCATCCCCTTTATTCTCCTGCTGACTTCTGCTGATTTATTGACTTCTGTTCCTCTGGTCCTCACACTCAGCCCACGCTGTGCCCCCACCCCATGGCACTTGGCAGTCTGTCACCAGGGCAGACGGGATCATGAAGCACTCTTCAGTTTTAGGGCCACACATCCACAGTTACCTATAAAACTCACACACTGACTTCTGCCCAGCTTCCAGTCTTTGGCCCTTCCTTCTGTTTCTGTCTCATGTTTCTGACACTACTAAATTGCTGGTAATGTCCTCTTCTTACCGTCCCACTTGACACTAGTCTTACTTTGCGGCCTTTCTTGACCTGATGATCCTTTTCTGCCCTTTATCTGGCTAACCTAGTTGTTTACCTTTAGGAAAGCCATCCTTCACACCTCTCATTAAGTGCTTTCTACCCCAAAGCCTAGCACTTAGTAGGAACTCAAGAACTGGTTCTTGAGGAAAATAAAAATCTTTATATGCAGATGGTTTTTAAAAATTGACCTAGTACAGGAGCAAAAAGAATGTACTTGTAAGGGGAGGAAATACAGCTCAAGTGGTAAAGACGTGGTGGGGGAATTAAGAGAACCCCAGGGAAAGCAACACCTGTTAGCCAAGAGAAAGACAATGCCACTCAAAGCTTTAGAGAATAGACTTGAGGCTTAAAGTAAAAGAAATCCATCAGAACAGAACAATGAGGGGGGAGCATTTCAGATGTAATACAGTGTTCAGCTATAAAGGGCATAAGAAGTAACAGTAATTTTGGAAGCCAAAGTCACTATTAGCAGATGGAATTGTGAGCGCTCTGAGTGTATGGTTTTGTTTATGTTATGTGAGTCTCTGGTATTTTTAATGCTCCTCCTTGGGGTGTATTTATGTTCAGTGAATTTTTGCATTGAAATTTTTATAGGTAATTAATTTGGCTCCAGATAGTGTCTGAACGATTTGTTGAAGTTTTGGATAATTAGGAGAATTTCCCTAAAATAGTAAATATTTAGCTTTATAGCTAAGGATTAAGTGTAATTTAAACTCTTAGAAGAAAAACAAATTGAAACTCTTAGAAGAAACACAAGTTATTTTTCTAGGTTTATAAAGACTTTATCTAGTAAAGAAGTTTATTTTAACTTAATGTGCACATTTGATTGCAGAGCCAGGAACAGTATCAAGAGAGGAGCAGACACGTCTCAGTGGCACTGAGGACAGCCAGCCGAAGGTATGTGAGAGCTGGATTGCTGGGTGGCTGTGCTTTTTACTTCAGTGAGAGAGCTTGTGGGATGAGTATCATTCAGACTAGCCAGTTGATAATAATTTAATATTTAATTTTAAAACAAGTTTTATTTTTGATTATACGTTGTATATGTATTTGGGCAAGTGCTTATGTGTGCAGAGGCCAGAAGAGGGTGTAGGACCCCTTGGAGCTGGAGTTAGAAGCAATTATGAGCTCAACAGAGTTCTGAGAACCGAACTCAGGTCTTATGTGCTCTTAACCACTGAACCATCTCTCCAGCCCCTAATGCTTCATTTTAAAAACATTTAACTAGTTATAAAATTTGAAATAAGGCTCGGGAGATTCATCCTTAGGTAAGAGTGCTTGCTGTGTGAGAATCTATAGACCTGAGTTTAAATCCCCAACATTCACATGGAAAAAGCCCAAGATGGACATGCGTGTTGGTAACTGCAGCCCCAAGAGGCAGAAGTAGCAGAGTGTGGGAGCTCAGTAACCCCACACCACACCCTTTAAACTATCCTCTGAACCAGTACATAAAATAACCTCCTCCGCCTGGTAGAGAATCTCAGCACTGGGGTACTGGGCGATGCACTTTAACTTTCTAATTTGATTTATCATCAGAAACTGGCATATACCCTAAATGACGTCGTCCACTGTCTTTATTGACTAAGAGACTAGACTTAATCCAAGTGACTACACTGTCATAGTTCATAATCGGAACTAAGGTTGCTCTTCTTTGGTATTTATTGACCTTGGCACTTAATAAAGTTTGCCTCCTTTCCGTTTGGTGATCTTTAGAAAAAGGACTTAATCTCCTCTTTAATGTGTGATAAGATTAGCCTTTTTAACACACACACAAACATACACAACACAACACAACCCTTCTAATCTGTTTTTAGTAAGTGTAGCACAGAAGAGTGTAGATCTAACAAACCACAGACACGTTAAGTCTGCTGGTTCACACTGTCCTGTTGTAGACTGAGGTGAGTTAGTTTTTACTTCTTAGATATAGTCCAGTGATTTAAAATTAGCTAAAAACATTTTTACTGGTAAGATTTCAATTGTTTTCTTTGTATATACTCTTTGATTATTTAAAAAATAAAGTTCTTTTAAAAATATACAGCCTTACAGAAAGAACTCTTTTTTTAAAGATTTATTTATGTTTATGGGTATTTTGCCTGCATGTACATTTGCACAGCAGAAGAAGACATCAGACCCCATTACAGATGGTTGTGAGCCACCATGTGGTTGCTGGGAATTGAATTCAGGGCCTCTGAAAGAGGAGTCAGTGCTCTTAACCATTGAGCCATTTCTCCAGCCACAGAAAGAGCTTTTGAGAATAGAATTCTGCATATCATTCTTCTTTCTCAATATGCAAAACATGGGACTCAAATGTCAAATCCAAATCCTGGCTAAACTGTCATGTGATTTGAAAAAGAGCTTCTAAGAAAAACAGGAATTCCTTTGCCATTTACTAATGACATTTTTTAAGATTTATTTTTATTTTACCTGTGGGCATGTCTGGCCTGCATGTACATATGTTCACTAAGTGTATGCCAGGTGCCTAGGCCAGAGGAGTGCACTGAGTCCCTGGAGCAAGAGGTACAGATGGTTGTGGTCCACCATGTGAGTGCTGGGACCACATCAGTGCTCTTGACCATGGAGCCATCTCTTCAGCCCCTCCCACAAAAAGTCTTTTTTTTTTTTAAATCAAGCTATCCTTCTGTCCACTTTTCATTAAAGGTTGAAGAAAAGAGAAAATACAAAAATAATGAAGCAGAACTATCAGGAAATCTACACAGAGGTGCTGCTGACAGTGGTGCTGATGTAAAGCCCCAGACTGGAGACACTGATAACCAGCAGTTTCCCAGGAAGGGGAGTGAGGGACATGGCAGGTAAGATTGGGTGATATTTAACATGGATAGGTGTTACTATAAAACAATTCTAATTTGGGTTACTATTCATTCTTAAATAAATATTGCACATATATGTTAGACATATTAACCTTACATGATTGTCAGAAAAACATTAAAGGACATATTTTTCCAATTATATTAATTAATATTTTGTTTAAAAATATACACAAAACATATATAACATACATTACATACATTATGGTATTTACCTATAATGTGTGACACAGTATACAAACATCCTTAACATATGTATGCATGTAAGCATTTGTAAGTAATGTTTTTTTATTCCAGAATGATTTTATCCCAGAAATAAAGCTATTAGCTGTCAGATTAGGGTATATTTCAGCTTATGATACATGCTACTAAACTATTTGCAAAAGGTATTTACCATTTTCTGTAGTAAGAATTTTGGTTTCTTTAAAATTCAGTTATGTGAATGTTTCAGTTTTTTTTTTTTAATTTTAAAAATATATTTCAAGAATGGCATACTATTTTAATATATCATTTTAACAAGCCTGGGAACTTAATCCTTTTTGAAGAGGTACTATTAGAGATTAATAATACATTTTAAGTACTAATATATACATACCAAATTAATTCCAGTTCAGTACATTATAAATATAATAAATATAAAAACAAACTCAGGTAACTGAAATATAATGTATATACATTTTTTTTTCATTTGGGTTTGAATAAGAATGGTCAGCATTTGATTTGAAAATGTCGTTTTCTTGTTAGACGTCTGTCACTGGGAGTGACTTTTGAGGTTTCAAAAGCCCATACCAGGTCCAGTTTCACTCTCTTCCTCTGCTGCCTGCTCATCAGGATGTAGTCTTCAGCTGCTTCTCCAGCACTGTGCCTCCTACCTGTCATCACGCTTTTTGCCATGATGATAATGGACTAAGCCTCTGAAACCATAAGGAAGAACCAATTAAATATTTTCTTCTATAAGAGTTGCCTAGATCATGGAATCTTTGCTCAGAGAGAGAAACACTAAGATAATATATAAATATATCTATTTGTATACACATGCATAAATGCACAGGCAAACTATACAGAACAACATTTTCTTAGTGATAGACATGTTAGTAATGCCATTGCCGTCTGAGGTTGTGTAAATACACTTTTTCAGTTTCTCACATGGCAGAATTGCCTAATGTTGCATGTCTTAGGAAAGATCAGCCTGGATAAACATGAGGAAGAAGAGGGGAAGCATGAGAATGCGTCTAATATAATACTCTAGAAGAAAACTATATTAAGACACATCTTATTTTCCTGAATGTAAATTAGACCAAATACACTATTAATTTTGACAATTTAGATGAATAGGCCAGATTCTACTTTTGCAGTGTCTTCAGATTTTATTTCATTGTAATTTAACCTCACATTTAATGGTGTTTCAAGTTACTCACATGAATAATATATAAATATCATAAGTATAGTGTTCCTTTAATGTCAACTTAGAAGACACAGCTTACTGGAACTAGCATCTCTGAGGCTGGATATCTATGCAGTCCCAGTCTGGCACTAGAATTCTGGCAATTTCTGAGTTGGCTGAGCACAGTTATAACCATTCTTTTGAACATATTGTCTAAATGATTTTCTGGGTCACTCTCAGTGGTGTTCGTTGCTGTGGAGCTAATACTCTGAGAAGCACACAACTGGGTTGTTTATGTTTATTTCTGTCCAGGAGCCTTCACACCTAAGGAATTTGTGTCTGTCTTTCCTTTGCCTCAACTCATCTTTCTTCTTTTAATGTAGCCTATGCAGTGCTCTGGGGATGGTTTGGTTGTAAGCATTGAGACTTAGTTTGATTTGCGTATTGATGGATGCAGGTTTCAGAGTGGGCCACTGTTTTCACAAACAGACTTTATCCAGTGTCATCCACTTGCTGCTCCTTCTACTGCCTTCTAGTGTGACTCCAAGTGTGATTGCTCTACCTTGAGTAAACTTTGGCCAGTGAGCATTGGTGGGAGGAGATCTCAGGGAGCTGGGTGTGTAGTCAGGTGGCTATGGAGTGTGTGGGGGGTGGGGTGGGGGGGGAACATGTGGGAACATTTATAGGGTGGGAAGGAACAGGCGTAGTTTAAGGGATGGGGTTGAAAAATCCTGGAAGAGCCAGATGGCCTGGCAGAACTTAGTCATGGGTCTCTGAAGAACCTGAATCCTGACTACTTTAGGGTGCAATGGAGTGATGCCTACCTACGTCTCCTGGAGGGGAAGTCAGAGAAGAACTAAATGGGAAGGAGCAGAGTCTAATGGGCAGGGAGGGAGGTCATGAAAGAGAGAGGTGGGGCGGCTGTGGAGTAGGATGAGCAGGGCCTCCTAGCAATGTAACAAAGGGAAGTCCTGGGGGATCCCAGTGGGCCTGTGCAATACAAGGAGCAGGCCTACTGTGGGGTGCATTGCTGGGAAGGCTATTCCTGGATGGGCAGGGCAGGCCCATGGGGTGGGAATGACAGACCTTGCTAGAGGCAAGGTGAGGGGTATCCATATGTGTTTCTTCTGTAAAAAGTAATCTCAGTTGCCCATTAGCAAATCCAGCTTCAAACATTTTTATTTATTCGTTTGTTTACTTATGTCTCTGCACATGTTCTACATTTAAAAATAAATACTCTTGTCCAACAGTCACTGTAGGCAGAGAGCTCCAGCCTTGGGTGTAGTGTTCAGGTTAGTTTACTCTCCTCTTGCTGTTTGCTTGAGTTTCACTCGCTCATGTTCCTACAGAGCACCCAGTCTTTGTCCTTATGTTCTCGTGTGTTCTGTAAAATGGTTTCTGCTGCTTTCGTTTCCCAGCAAGCTCTTGTGATTTTACCTCTTCTGAAAAACTTTCCTTGTTCTCAGATAAAACGTCTCACAGATCAACTCCGACACATCACACGTGCACTGTTGTGGATTTGTTCACCCACTGAGTGTGTGCTCAGCTAGTGCGCAGAGTCAGAATTGTACCAAGATTACTTTTCTTTTATTCTTTGTCAGTAGAATTCTTTTTAAAAGACATTTAAAAAAAAAAAACATTTGTTTTTAAATAGTGGTCCTGCCTTGCTTATGAAGGAAGCAAAGAAAAAGGGAAGTGAAAAATGGCTATCCAAAGAGTCTGTTGTGACGGCAGTGACTGAGAGCGCTGGCTCACCAGCTGGTGGCTCGCTACAAATGCAGGATGACTCCCGCTGGAGTGACACGGACCAAAGTGAATCCAGGTAAAACATGAGTTCTTTATTCTTTCTGGAGGAATGTTGGCCATGGCTACTTAGCTTTGGAAACAAAACAGTGTTGTAGTCTCCAGGCAAGGTGTTGCTGGGAGGGTGAGCAGTTCAGTAAAGAGTTGCCATGGAATCCGATTGCAATAAGTAAATATATACACTTTTAAAAATGTTTCAAGTCCAGGTATGGTGGTTTATTCTTGTAACTAAGGCTGAGGCAGGAGGATTGTCATGAGTTCAAAGCTAGCCTAGAGCACATATTGAATTCTAGGCTTTCCTAGTCTACAGAGTTATCTGCTGTAGGTCAACATTTACCTTATCTCAAAAACAAAATGGTTTCCTATGTAAGGACTTCTGAAGCACTTTCCAGAGAGATTGTAGTGCTCACAAATGACAGTAACAACGACAAATGGGGCCAGCAATAGGGCTTAGAGGATGAAAGCACTTGCCACCAAGCGTGAGGCCCTGAGTCTGATATCCCAGAACACACATGGCCGCAGGAGAGAACGGCTCTTACACATTATTCTCTGACCTCCTCACTTGCTATAACACACATTTATGCACACACACACACACACACACACACACACTCACACACTAAGAAGAAAAGTAAAAAACTTTCTTAATGGTATCTTTTTTTTCTATCAAGTAACATGTTTTTCCTTTTTCTGTGATCATTGGAACTTTGACCTAAGTTTAATTCTTTCTGGCCTGGGGATGTGGCTCAGGTAATAGCGAACTTGCCTAGAATACACAGAACCCTGTATTTGATGACCAACAGTCCACTGTGGACCTTGGTGGCACACAGTTCAGACCCCAGCTTTGGGGGTCGAGGTTGGAGTCTCAAGGTCCTGCTCAACTGAATAAAAGAAATATGTGTGTTTCCAATTTCTTCTTACGATAGTAGTAGTTATTTTTATCTCTTACTCTCTGTTTATAACTAAACACCCTATAGAAAATTATTACATTTCAAATAATCTGTAAACTTTATTAGTGAAAGAAATGTTTCAAATGTAGAAGTTTTATATAAAAGTCAATAATCTTATATATTCTTTATTAAAGGATTTTTAATGGTTTTTTTTTTATTTTAGGCCCACAAAGAAAACATCTAATAAAAATAACAAGGTAATGTAAAGAGGATCGCAGAACAATATTTTGTTTTAAAATATGAAGTAATGTTTAAAAATGTAAGTTGAAAGATATGAAAGATAAAGTGAAAACAGGACATTGTTATCAGGTAAGAAACAGTGGCGGTTGGTATCAGTGTCCTTTTGACCACAGTGGAGTTCTTTTAGAAAGTGCCTCTTTCTGCTTGTATAAGACAGAAAGCTTGTATAAAGCTTGTATATTTGATGCACAGTGTAAACATCAGGGAACATAAACAGTGTTTATTTTACAGGACAGCAAGCAGACTGCTGCCGTGGGCAACCTCGACGACTTCACTGAGTCATCTGAAACAACCTCCGAGGACCATGAGCTCCAGGGCCCCGATTACGAGAGCATTTTGTGTGAAATCGAGCATCTCAGACTGGAGTGTAAAGGTATCATCACTGTGTAAATGGAAGGCCTTTTGATGTATGGTGATATATGCCACTTAGCATTGCCCGGGAACCCTGATGTGTGACAGTACTGTTCCTGTCAGAAATATGTGTTGTATTATCATAGTATGTGAGCTGCTCATTATACTGTCAGCCAAAACACTGCAGTCCCTCTCGTGGGACCGACACATCCAATCTCTTTGTTCATCTTGCTTTTCTTCTGTGTCTTACTGTCACTGGGTGACGTTACCTTTATGTCAGCTTGACACAAGCTAGAGTCGTCAGAGAGGAGGGAGCCTTAACCGAGCATATTCCTCCAGATGCTCTGGCCGTAGGCAGACCTGCAGGACATTTACTTAACTAGTGACTGATGAGAGGGTCCATCCCATTAAGTAGCTCTAGCCTGGGCTGGTAGTCCTGTGTTGAGCAAGTCATGATGAGCGAGCCACTGAGAGCACCCCTCCATGGACTTCGCATCAGCCCTTTCCTCCAGGTTTCTCCCTTTTTACATTCCTGTGCTGATTTCCTTCAGTGATGAACAGTCATGTGGAAGTCTAAACCAAATAAACCCTTTCCTCCTCAAGTTGCTTTGGTTGTAGTGTTTCATCAGAATAGTAACCCTATGATACCTGGTCTCTGCCTAGAAAGCTGTAAGCCTAGAAAGCCGTTTGTTCTTGCTAACCCACCTCCTGCAAACCTGGTCTCTTTTTTAAGTGTAATTATGTAATTGTTAAGATTCAGACCTGATCATATGAACTCTTTGCTACAAGGTTAAATTGCTCGGTCCTTGAGCTTTCTCCTGACTTTTCTGTTTCGATTGTCTTAGAAGTTGCAGTAGAATGGTTTGTTTTCCCAGGCAGTGGTGGCGCATGCCTTTAATCCCAGCACTTGGGAGGTAGAGACAGGCGGATTTCTGATTTCAAGGCCAGCCTGGTCTACAGAGTGAGTTCCAGGACAGCCAGGGTTATATAGAGAAACCATGTCTTGAAAAACAAAAACAAAAAAAAAAAGGGAAAAAAAAAAAGAAAGAAAGAATGGTTTGTTTTATACAGTTTCAGTAAGGCATATTGATATACAAAGGGTGATTTGGTTAGTTTCAACATTTGTATTAAACATATTTAATTACCATAATCAGCATAGTTAACAAATCTATCAAAGAAGCCTCCATTTCTCCCCCGCTCCTTGTTAAAACGCTGACAGATTGTTCTCCAGCATGTCCCTGTTCTGTCTTCCCACCCATGAGATAGGAGAGATCCAGTGTGTGTGTATTGCAGGAGATACTTAAAATGGCGGCATCACCCGATCTGGCTTGTGGTTACGGAGCCACCATGTTCCCGACTAGTCTAGGCACTCACTGCTGCATGGCTCAGGTGGCCAGAGACGCCGGCCCTGCCACCCACGAGACGCCAGTGTCGGAGATGGCTCTGCCAGTTTTCCATGCTGTCTCCACAAGACTGGGCTGAGCCCAGACCATCCCACCATCCACGTGGTACCTGGTAGAAATGAGACTTTAATGGTTAAAGATTAACCAAAGGCTTTATATGTTTGGTAATGCTCAATAACATGATGCCCACACAATTAGAGGTATAACTCAATACCCAACCTAGATATATCAACTACCTTTGACTGCTAGAGACACACACACATCCTCTGCCATGTTCCCCTCTCTCTGGCCTTCTCCCCTAGCTCCTCCTCTTCCTCTCCTTACTCCTCCCACCTTAGCTCCTCCCAACTTGCAGGAAAATATGCTCTAAGTGTGTGTCCTCAGAAACACTGATTATCAGCATTTTAAATCTTAGCTGTTCTAATGGCTGCATAGTATGCATATCATTCTGGTGTTAATGTACATTACACTACTAATTAATGGCAAGCATTTTCCATGAATTTCTTTTCCTTTACTGTCTTTGGTGAGCTCCTTTCTGATCTGTATCTAATATCTTGTAAAATGTATTGTCCAGCCTGACTGAGCAGAATAGATATTCTTCTTATAGGAGCAGTGGATGAGATTTCAGCTAATCTTTTCAGAAAGTTTATCCTTGGTTGATGTGGTTTCTTGCTATACATGCTTTGTTCAGTACTTGGCTAAGTATTCCGGGTCCTGTACAGCCCTGCAGGTTCTTTATCTGTGTTGCTGTCTCCTCTCTGGTCTGTCCTGTGATCTCTTTTTTTTTCTTTTTTTTCTTTTCTTTTTTTTTTTTTTTGTAGGTTTTTCAAGGCAGGGTTTCTCTGTGTAGCCCTGGCTGTCCTGGAACTCACTCTGTAGACCAGGCTGGCCTCAGAAATCCGCCTGCCTCTGCCTCCCAAGTGCTGGGATTAAAGGCGTGCGCCACCACCGCCCGGCCTGTCCTGTGATCTCAAGCAGTCTTTGATTATCAGACTCTGAACTTATATCACCTCAACTCAGCAAGTGGAGGGAGCTCTACTTCAGTTCTTCCTCTGAGTGGTAAGAGAGTCAGGCCTGGGATGCTCATAAATTTCATTTCTCTATTAAGGATCAAGTCATGAGATTATTATTTAAGACATTTTATCTGTCTTCATTTGTGTTGTTTCCAGTGGGACTGTGGCTCCATAACTGTCACCTCGTCTTGGCTAAAAACAGATTGACATAGAGGCTCATTAAATGCTTTTTGTTTCTCTGTTTTAAATCTAACATGGAATGATTGACTAAGTTTAGCTTAACATGAAGATCTCCAGTTCTATCCAGTTTTATAAGAACAAACCCATTGTGTCTAAATCCCACCTGTTCTTTTAAGCTGACCTAGAGCAAGAGTCACCTGTGTTATTTTCAGAGCCTAGTGTAAGGTGTTCCACATTGTAGGCATTTAGTGTAAGTGAATGAACGCAAGCATTCAGGCTTCTTCTAATATGCACACTCATTTTATCTGTCTCTCATTTTCTCCTCATTCAGATACTGTTAGTCTATTGAAAATCCGGGATGCTGTTTATTCATACAAAAGATTAATAGAACTTAAAAGAAGCCACTGCGAACTACTTACAGGAAAACTGAAAAGAATGGAGAACAGATATAAGGGATTACAGCAGGAAGTGTCAGAGACAGAAGAAGTGAAGTCACGGCTGGAGCATGAGAAGGTCGGATGGGAGCAGGAGCTCTGCAGGCTGAGGTGTGCTGTCTCTGCATGTTGTTTATTAATGGTTAATGCTCTCTTACATCACTCATTCGTATACTAGCCTGTACACCTTGCAAGTGTGTGCAAGTCGGGTGCTAACTTGGGAGGGCCAGCCTCCTTCCACCATGTGGGTCCTAGAGATCCAACTCAAGCAGTCTGGCTTAGAGCACGTGCCTTTACCCTCTGACCTGTATTCCAGCCGCGGCAGCTCAGCTTTGAAGGTGTGTTAGAGCCTTTTCAACAGCCTCTTCTGTAGATAGTGAGACGATCATGTGGTGAGCTACGCTTCCTGACTTACATATGCTGAACCATCCTTAAATCTCTGGGATGAAGCCAACTTAATCGTGGTGGATGACCTTTTTGATGTGTTTTTAATTCGACTAGCATATCTTAATAGGAATTTTTGCATCTGTGTTCATCAGGTAGATTGATGAATACATTTCCTTTGTTGTTTGTTTGTTTGTTTTTTATCTGATTTAGGTTATCAATACAGTGCCAGCTTCGTATTCTGGACCTGGGTTTTCTTGTTGTTTTGGTCTTTTTACTTGTGAGGGATTTACTTACATTTTTAAATCTCTTTTTGGCTTAATGTTGGTATGTCACATACATTATGAAATTCATCAGTTTCTTTCAGATTTTCCAGTTGATGGAATAAAGATTTTGAAAGTATAACCTTATTACCTTATGGATAGGAAAAAATCCATTTTTTTCTAATTTTATTAATTTGGAATTGTTTTTTAATTTGGCTAAAGTTTTGGTGTATGTGTTATATGGAACATTAGAAAGTGCTATCTTAAGATGCAGTGCTTTAGGGAGGCCTGAAATATTTCATAAAGTTAAAAATTTTACTTCTGATCACAGTCTAATCTTTATAACTAATACCTTTTAAACAATTAAGTTTAAATTGTCTGTTTTGATTAAGAAGTAAATACAACTGTGTAATAATTAATAATTTCCTTTTTTTTTTTTTTTTGGTTTTTCGAGACAGGGTTTCTCTGTGTAGCCCTGGCTGTCCTGGAACTCACTCTGTAGACCAGGCTAGCCTTGAACTCTCGAACTCAGAAATCCGCCTGCCTCTGCCTCCCAAGTGCTGGGATTAAAGGCGTGCACCACCACCGCCCGGCTAATAATTTCCTTTTTAAAAAGATTTGCTTCATGAGTTTGGAAGTTTTGTCCACATGTCTGTCTGTGTGCTGCATGTGTGCAGTGCCTGTGGAGGCCAGAGAGGGGCATTGGCTCCTTTAGAACTGTTGCTGTAGATGGCTGTGAGCTACCGTGTGGATGCTCTGAGCCGAACTGGAGTTCTGGAAGAAGAGCAGCCACAGAGCCATCTCTCTCCCTACAAAAGATAATTTTATCGTAACTTTACTGAATGAGTTCAAAATTCCTTTTCAATAATATTTACCAGACTTCTAGAAACTTGCTAATTAAAGTTTTTATTCATCCTTATTGTCATCAAGAGCATATGGGCTTTAGAAGAGATTAAAGTAAGAAATTAAACTCATGAATCATAAAGTGGAACAAATTATTTAATAACAGAGAAGTCTTATTAGGACACTACATTATACCATGTTTAGGTCCGGGTCACAAAGTGATCTTTGTTTTGTAAAAACAAGTTAATTTTAACTTCAGGTTTGCACTGAAACAAGAGGAAGAGAAGAGAAGAAGTGCAGATCAGCTTTCTGAGAAAACCGTGGAGCAACTTAGAAGGAGAGGCGAGCAGTATCAGAGCGAGGTGGAAGCCAGGCAGCAGCTTGAAGTCTCTCTCAGGACCCTGGAGATGGAGCTGAAGACGATGAGAAGTCACCTCAACCAGGTAAGCTAAGCCCCGGTAAAATGTCTTACTCCTACCTTTATTTGTTGTATTTTAATGTCACGTTAGTTATATGTGTTGTATATTTACACTCATACATCCGAGTATAGAGCTCCATGAGCCACTTAAGATCGGTGTTTCCTTATTATGCAAACATTATGAACATGATAGAAATCAACATCATCACTAGTTGATGTAATTGGTATATACAGTCCAGTGTTGACCGATGGCACCTCATGCTGAGAATAAATCTTAACATAGCTGAAATTACTTATTGTGACTCTTGGAAACAGATGGGTATCACATATATCTTTTCAAAGTGAAGTAATGGAAAGTAAGTTTAATCTGGAAAATAAAGTTAGTTTAGCACTCTTAAAAATAAAAGCCGACTTTGAAACTGTTAAAACTAGTTAAATGGTTGCAATAAACTGTAGTTCACAATATCCTTTCCACCTGTAGGAAGTAGTTTAGTTTTCTAAGCAATTTAACTACAATATGTAGTACAAATTGAGTGTTTTATGTGGGTTCCTCATGTTTTCATTGGCTGTCTCTAGTATGTTTTTAATGTTCTAGCCCTAAGTAAGCTTTTAGATACCATGTCCGAAACAGGCACAGAGGTATGAGACTGAGAACTTCATCACTGTATCTCTAGGTTTTAGAGGAACGAAATGAGGCTCAGCGGCAGCTTTCCCGAGAACAGAATGCCAGAATGTTACAAGATGGGATTCTTGCAAATCATCTCTGCAAGCAAAAGGAGCTAGAGATGACACAGAAGAAAATGACTTCTGAGGTATTTTCTTTAGTTTTCAAAAGATGCGTTTGTGCACTTATGTATTTACATATTTTCAGAACCAGCCTTATGGAGCACAGAAAACAGAGGATTTCTGAACCATATGTGTGCATGTATAGAAACCTGTTTCAGGAGACTTCCTGCTGTCTGAAGTAATATAAAGGAATAAGTGCTCTGGTGGGGGAGCGCTAGCCACAGTGTAAGGGGACTGGGGAATTCTGCAACTTGTTAAATTTTTAATCTCTCCTTTTCACAGTGGTGGTGACAAGAGTTCTCGCACCTGTGTAGACATACTTATTTGTATAGTGCTTATTTTTAGCATTTATCAATAAATATGGTTTCAATGACAGACTAAAAATAATGTTAGAAGAGTCTTTCTGGATAAAAAGAACTAAAAGAGCTTTGGGAAATTTCTTCTGTGTAAATGAAGGGTCTTATTACAGACTGATTATTTACACTAAAGTGTAAACCTGATTTTTTTTTTGGCATATGTGTATGGTATGTTTGTGTGTTCACATTTGTTTGTGAACACGTGTGCATGGACGTAGAAGTTGATGGTAGGTGACTCTTTGGTTTCTCTGCACTTGACATGTTGATGCAGGGGCTCTCTCTGAACCTGCTTGGCTAGCCCACCAAGCCAGCTTGCCCGGAGATCTCCCATCTTGGCTTCCCACGTGTTGCGGTTGCAGGTGGGCTGCCACTCACCCCAGCACTTACATGGGTGCTGGGAACTGTGCTGTGGTCCTCACTTGTGTGAAGCCAGCTCCTGATGTGAAATGTCAACAAATTTAGTAATCTTGGACTTGGTGCCTGAAGCCTGTTGTAATTCAGAGAAAGGCTTTTCCAGTGCTAAGTTTCTTAAAAGGTATTTCTCTCTTAATTTCATAAAGTCATTGTCTTCGATTACGCTTATGAACTTTTAGGAATTATACTTCTATAAGCTCAGAATTAGTTTATTTCTCCAGTTGATATATGAGTTTCAGCACTTAGGTTGAAGAACTTTACATGCTGTTCTTGAATTCTATAGGAAATTGTGACATTTCATAGACTGCTAGCTAAGTGTCTCTTTTCTTACTTAGGTTTCTGTTAGTCAGGAAAAAGAAAAAGATCTATTGGATAAAAACCAGAGGCTGCAGGATGAAGTTGCTGTGTTAAGACTAGAAATGGACACAATAAAAAACCATAACCAGGAGAAGGAAAAGAAGTATCTTGAGGATATTAAGATTGCAAATGAGAAGAATGATAATCTTCAAAGGATGATAAAGCTGAATGAAGAAACATTTACAAAAACAATATTCCAGTATAGTGGACAGCTTAATAGTCTTAAAACTGAGAACACAATGCTGAATTCTAGGCTGGACAACGAAAAACAAAGTAAGGAGAGATTGGAAACAGACATTGAGTCGTTCCGATCTCAACTGGCTTCCGCTCTGCATGAGCATGCTGAAATTCAGACAGCAAAGAGAGACCTAGAAACGGCTTTCCAGAGAGCAAGAGATGAGTGGTTCCGTCTGAAAGACAAGATGAATTTTGACATGTCTAACCTCAGAGACAGCAATGAGGTTCTCTCCCAGCAGCTTTCTAAAACTGAAAGAAAATTGAATAGCCTGGAAATCGAGTTTCATCACACAAAAGACGAGCTCAGAGAGAAGACGCTGGCTTTGAAGCATGTGCAGAGAGACCTCAGCCAGACACAGTGCCAGATGAAGGAGGTGGAGCACATGTTTCAGGATGAGCAAGGGAAAGTGAATAAATACATGGGAAAGCAGGAGTCCATAGAGGAGAGGCTGGCTCAGCTGCAGAGTGAGAACACGCTGCTCCGACAGCAACTAGACGATGCTGCCAACAAGGCCGAGAGCAAAGACAAGACAATAGTGACCATCCAAGACCAGTTCCAGGATGTGCTAAACAGATTCCAAGCTGAGAGTCAGAAGCACAGCCTGAGGCTAGAAGACAGAAACCAGGAGTTAATCATTGAGTGCAGTCATCTAAAAGAAAGAATGTGTCAGTACGAGACTGAGAAAGCAGAAAGAGAAGTAAGTATCAGAAAAGAGAAGTATAGTTTAAACTTTTGTTTATTTCTGTCTGGGGGAGGTATGGGTGTGTGCCTGCGTGTATGTCTGTGTACCAGGTGCATGCTGAATGTTGACAGAGGGCAGGCAATGGCATCGTCTCCCTTGGAGAGGAAGTTACACATGGTCATGAACCGCCATGTGTGTGCTAGGAATCAAACCCAAAAAACCCAAAAACCAGTCCTCTCAAAAACCAGTCATTGCTCTGAACCACTGAGCCATCTCTGTGACCCTAAGAAAGATAAATATTTTTAAAACATCCCAAAGAGAAATTTAAAATACTGTTTGTTAATATTAAGTGTTAAGTCTAGCTAAAAATAAAAATCTAGTGACTCTACTCAAAGCTAGGTAAAGGGCGATAACTGAAGACCAGGCACAGAAACACAAGGACCATGTGATCTTCCTAATAATAAATAATCTTAATAAGCTAATTTCTTAAAAGCTCCAAAGTACAGAAGTGGTTTTTGGAGCTGGGGGTGAGACAAGGATGGAGGTGTGGGTCAGCGGGTCAGTGGGTCAGTTAGTCAGTTACAGTGAAGAGCAGGAAATGTGGAGCTAGTGAACAATAACATACCCTAATTTCAAACATCTAGAAGAAATGATTTCACCATAAAGAAATGATCAATGTTTGAAGCCATAACTGTGTCTAACTTGACTTAAACGCTAGATAATATATACAAATATCAAAACAGTATGTACACTATACAATTTTATACTTTTACATGTCAGTTCAAAGATGAAAATTTTAATTATGAGTAAATTAAAAATAAAGTATATAAAAAAGTTTCACAATGTAGAGTTCATCCCTGCCAGCCCCATGTACACACACTACTATTTGCAGTGATATTCCTCAGAGCATGTGGAAGAAATAAATGGTATTAATGTTATAATATGTTTTATAAAATTCATAACAAATGTATTATCAGGTAGTTGTAAGACAACTTCAACAAGAACTGGCAGATACCCTGAAAAAGCAGTCAATGTCAGAGGCTTCGCTAGAAGTTTCCTCCCGCTACCGCAACAATTTAGAAGAGGAGGCACGAGACTTAAAGAAGAAATTAAGTCAGGTCAGAAGTCAGGTGCGTATGAATTTGGTATGCCAGCTGCTCAGGATGATTTCAGCAAAGAGCTTTTTTTTTTAAGATTTTCATTGTAGTCTGCCATTACCTTCATAATGAACTTACTTCTTTTTTTTTTTTTTGACGTTTAATTCTTTTTTTTTTGTTTTGTTTTTAATTAAATAATTTATTTTTTCTCAAATCGTAATTCATTCACACAGGGGTTATAAACACAGAAAGGCAGGATGTGGGGAAGGAAATGACACTGGAGTGTGGATGTTCAGGGGGAATACAGATATCTTCAGAACCGGGTATCGGCTGGGTGAAGGTTCAGGGGACAAGTCGCTATGACTCTGCCTATGACTCGCTCGTCCTTATCTAAGTTGGTATTGTCTGCCAAGGCTACCTATTTACAAGGTCTATGACTTCTCAGGCTTGTAAATTTCCACAAAAGCTGCCTGTTTACAATACCTTATAGCCATCTGTTTCAATGTTTTTCTACAGAGACCCAAGACTTGGTGTTAGTATACATGTATGAAAGGTCTTTTGATGATTTTAGGCCTATGGCTGATTTTAGGCCTTCAGTGTATAAGCAGGGATGCCCCTGACATCTCCTCCCTTCTCTAAGTATAGAAGGGCTGTGGAGATTCTAATCTTGTGAAGGTGGGGATAGAGGCCTGACCTCCAGTAATTGAAGGGGACCTTGTAATGGCTCCCATCCCCCTATAGATGAACTTACTTCTTAAACTCCACTTTTATTCTACCATTTTTTTTCTTTGACTTAAAAAAAATGCACTTATTTCTTGTGAGGGAACAGGCCAAGCATGCTACCTCATTCCAGGGGAGTGTGGAGGACAGCTTGTGGGGTCTGTCCTCGTCTTCCATTCACATGAGCTCTAGAGGTCTGACTTACATCATCCTTGGCCACAGACACCTTCAACCTCCAGAGCCAGCTCACTGGCCCCATTTTTTTTCTTTTTTCTTTTCTTTTTTTAAATGGTTGGGATAGCTGCTGCTTCTCCTTCTCCTCCTCCTCCTCCTCCTCTTCCTCCTCTTCCTCCTCTTCCTTCTCCTTCTTCTTCTTTTTAAAGATTCATTTACTTTATGTATATGAGTATACTACCACTGTCTCAGACACACACTGGAAGAGTGCATCGGATTTCATTACAGATGGTTGTGAGCCACCATGTGGTTGCTGGGAACTGAACTCAGGACCTCTAGAAGAGCAACCAGTGCTCTTAACCACTGAGCCATCTCACCAGCCCCCTCTATTTTTTTCTTAAAATTTCTTGTCTTTCTTTAATGTATCCTTGTGGAAATTGAGAACTATATATTGTTCCTCAGAGATATTTCTATTCCAGTTGAGATAAAGTAGGTTAAACTTAGAGATGCTGTTTATGGAAAGTTCCAGAAAATCTGCCTACTTTTTACCCCCCTTTTGTGAGTGGATATAGTATCTTTGAAACTTATTTAATGAATTTCAAGACAACTTGTATAAAAAGGCCATATATGTTGTTCAGAAATGCAGATGCTAGCCAGGTATGGCAGCACACCTGTATGTCAGCTATTTGGAGGACTGAGTTTGAGGCTGGCCTGAAAAAGTTTTAAAGGGACTGAGGAGTGTGGTCAGGTGCAGTGTTCGCCTTGAACATTTGAGGCTTTATGTTCAATCCCTTGTGACAGAAATAAACAAAAAGCAAATGTTTTAGGATAATTTAAAATCTGTCTCTCCAAAGCTAGGCATTACTTTGACTTAGAAATATGACCATATGGAAATATTCAGATCATATATAGTATTCGTATCTAAAACAAAATGAAAACAGTGTCTGGATTCTACCATCTGTTCTGTGTGTTTGGTGTAGAATCTCTGTAGCTCCAAACTGATCTAGAAGTAACTGCATGAAGCAGGCTGTCCTGCAGTTTGCAGCCATCCTCCTGCCTCCTCCTCTCAAGTGCTGGGTTATAAGTAGGTCCCAGTATACCTGGCTTGCAAAATGAACAACAGTGTTGAGTTATCACGAACATACAGTACACAGCTCACCATTTCAAGTAAAAACTCTGCATCACAGTGTGTTTACAGATGCATAGTCATCATCACAGTCATGAGAACCTTATCGTAGGGAGGAAACCTTACGCCTCTCAGTGTCACCCTCGTCCTCTTGTCTTCCCCAGACCTACCCATCTATTTATGTCTGTATATAATTTCTTTTTCATGAGCATTTTATATCATACAATATTCACTCCTTTTGAACAGCTTGTTCTCTCAGCACGGCTGTCAGTCCTTGGTATCTTCCTTGTGTCTTCCTGTTGCCGTAACAGGCTGTTGCTATTCTCCCTTCATCAGTTGGCGGGTTTTGGGCTCTTTACTTCTTGGCTGTTGTTAATGGTGAACTCTGGTTTACAGGGCACTTTACCGTCCAGTGTGCTGCGTTTCCCTGTGGTGGGATTTTATCACCTTAGTTACCTAGGCCCACGTCTTTGCTCATACCCTTGAATAACTTGAAATGTTTTTGCTTAATAGTCATTAGAATAGAATTAGGTACTTCATACCTTACCAGTAATTACTTCTCTTGAGACCTTAAGGTGATAAGGCTTTTTTTTTTTTTTTTGAGACGGTGTCATGTATCCTAGGATGGCTTCAAACTGTAATATAGCTGAGGATGGATTTGAACTTCTGACCCTCCTGTCTCTACCTCCCAAATGCTACAGTTATAGACAAATGCCATCATGCCTGGTTTGTGTCTTGCTGAGGCTCAAACCTAGGGCTTCATGTGTACCAGACAAGTACTTCATCAACTGAATTTTATACCTACACCCTGTAATAAGGCTCTTACTCTAGATATATTTTAAGGAATTGCACACGAAATGGAAGCATATAATTTAGTAGAGGAGAAATGTTCTGTCAAACATTTTTTTTCTCACCATGAGAAAAAAGTAACTCCATTTGCCTTCTTTCATTATGTGGCCAGAGTTGGGATCTGAAAGTCTAGAGGAAGTGCAGCTGTGAGGCTCTCTGTCTGGAGCTTTTCTGATATTCCTACTGCAAAACCTTCATGGACCATCAGAGGACTGGCGGAAGCAGCCCAACACACTTTGGGGAGTGTATTGCTTTAAGGATTTCAGTTTATCCACAGAGCCTCTGGTTGTCATGCATTTCCTGCTCACACCAGCAAACAGTTTACTGCACTGTGTGATCCATGCCAGCTCAGTAGTATGGAGGAAAAGGAGAAGCTAAACTGAGCGTGTGGACAAAGCTTCTGGTGCCTGAGAGATTTCCAGAAGCTGCAGGAAGTCCTAGGGCTACAATGTGGGCCTCAGTCTCCCCATTTCCTGCCATATTCAGCTTCATAAGCCGGTGCATTTTGTGTAGAGGACCTCGTCTATGGTCGCCATAGCACCCGCCCAAAATCTCTCTCACTGCCATGTAGGCTTCAAGTACTTTATATTCCCTAATTAGTCTTCTCAGTAGTCCATTGACGTGGGTAGGATCATGTCCATTTCACAGATAAAGACACTAGGATACAGAAAGTTTATTTGCTTAGAATCTATACATCTAGCAACTGGAGGAGATGGGGTTTAGACCCAGGAATTCTGGCTTCCTTGTGGATATACCTCCACTGAAACTATTTCATAAGGCAACTAGCTATCATTAAAATGTTATATTCATCATAACTGGCAGAGCTATGACAATTTATAGATAAATAGGTAGATAGCACATATACATAAGAATTTTTAAAATCATAAATGACAAGATGGTGCTGGAAATTCCTGCCAGGCTGTGGTGGCACATGCTTTTAATCCCAGCACTAGGGAGGTTAAGGCAGACATATCTCTTAAGTTCAAGGCCAGACTAGTCTACAGAACAAGTTCTAGGAGACTCAGGGCCCTGTCTCAAAAAGAAAGAAAAAAAATTCTCTTTTCTTAGTTTCACCAGTGTTGTTGTTTTGCACATCTGGTTAGATACAGTTAAGACTTCCCTGCTCTGCTCGCTGAGCTAGCCAGGCACTAGTAGACTATGATTTACAAATGGGGCTGTCAGTCACAACAGACATCAGTAAATTTTCTGTAAAGGGCTAGGTAATATTTTAGTTTTTGAGAGCATAAATTCCTGTTGCAAGAACTCAGTTAAATTTGCCGTCACTCCAGAGACGTGCACATGAACAGCAGAGATCAGGGGTATCTCTGTGTTCTGGAAAATTGTAGCACAAGATTAAAGTATGCAGAATTAGAATAGCTTATTAGTAAAGGTTTGTTTTATTCTTTATTCCAGTTGCAAGAGGCACAGGATCAACACAGAGAGGCTGTACAGCGTGCTGAGAAGATGGAAGACCACCTACAAAAGTATGGTTTAAGCAGTGTGACTCCAGTGTTTCTGAAGCAAATAAGTAGTATCTTGTGGCTGTTCTGCCAGTTACGACAGCAGCACCTCTGAGGCTAGGGCACGGTTTTACCTTTAAAAAAGAATGCAGTTAGGAGTTTAGCCTACTCATGAAGATGTGGGCTTGATTCCTAACCCACGAAACATAGCTAGAGAAATTATAGTTACCAAATCACCTGCTTTTCAGACTTTTCAAAATTTAAGAGTTTATTAAGTGACTGTTGATTTTCGAAATTATGTGATATTTTAAAAATTGCTTTATAAATATAATTCTTTTAAAATATAATTTTAGGCTTGAACTTGAAAATTCCAAGTTCGAAGTTACAATAAAAAAGCAATCAGAGGAAATCAAACAACTTCAGGAAAACCTGTCAAATGTGAATTTGGTAAGCTGTCCTCTTCTGGATTCTTTCCTGCTGAGAGGGAGAGTCTGTGCTCTGTGAGAACACAGTGGGCAGTCTTCTGCAGTGGTGCTGTGGGAACACAGTGAGCAGTCCTCTGCAGTGGTGCTGTGGGAACACACACAGGGGGCAGTCCTCTGTAGTGGTGCTGTGGGAACATAGTGGGCAGTCCTCTGCAGTGATGCTGTGGGAACACACACAGTGGGCAGTCCTCTTCAGTGGTGCTGTGGGAACACAGTGGGCAGTATACAAAATCTTGGTGTTGCTTCTGTTCACATTCTTGTTCCTCACAGTACAAGTCCACTCTGCAGAAAAGTTGGCTGAGTTCATAAATTAATGATTTCAACCCTAACGTTTCAATAAAGTACTGTGATAGTCTGCTGCTATATTCACAGCAGATCTTGTTTATGATCTGTGCACTGGTAGGCTTGTGAGTTAGCTCTGTCTCTTGGTGAAGAGATGTATGTTGCTATGGACATCAGACAACATTGCCCCACTAGAGCTTTACAGTAAATCCTTAAATTCTAAGAAATTTAAGTTATTTGATCTAGAATTCTGAAATTTTCTAGTAATCAAAGCCTTTCTCTGAGATTTTGAGAATGAATTACTTATACTTCTTATTCATCCAAAATAGATACCAGATCATGATATAAGTGTTTTCCCCTAGGGAACTATATTTTCCACGGGTTTTTTTTTTAAAGAGCTAACACTAGAAAAGGTTACAAGATAGATGTATTAGACACCAACTCACAGGGCTGTTCTCACCGCTGACCTCAGCCATCGGAGTCACTGTGTGCTCTTTGTATGAGTAGCACACTTTTGTTGATGAGTTTATGAGACTGGCGGAAGATGACCTGCTATATAGGAGTCTTAGAGTAATGTATCGAGTACAAATTTAAATTTATGGTTTGTGTCTCATTTTGTTCTAGTTTTTTGAGACGGGGTTTTACTGCTTAGCTCTGGTTGTCCTGGAATTCAACATGTAGACCAGGCTGGCCTCGAACTCACAGAGATCCAGCTACCTCTGCCTTGCAAGTGTTGAAATTAAAGGCACTATGCCTAGCTCCTGTTTCCTTTATTTATTTTCTTTGATGGAAGGAGACACGTGTACATGCCATGTCCTGGGTGTCTCGTTCCATCATGTAGGTTCCAGGGATCAAACTCAATTGGTCAGGATTGGCAGCAAACACCTTTATCCACTGGGCGGCCTCACTGCCCCTGAGCGTTTTATAGCAGGGCTTCAAACTTCTTAAGCTTATTTCAAAGTGATGACAGATTTTCTGTAGCATTCAAAAAAGATGATAAGAATTCAGAATATGTGATATTTTGAAGTTTTCTCTGAATTAAGAGTTTAATAAGGTGCCAAGCAGTGTGGTTTATAGCTATAATGCCAGCATTTGAGAGACTGAAGGCAGAGAATAGCCAAAAGTTAGTGCCAGCTTAGGCTGCATAGTCAGTTCCAAGCAATACTGGGTAACAGTTGATTTCTGAAAAGCTTAAAGCAAAGTAAACAAAACCAACCCAAACAAAGCCCAAGTGCTGGCATGATGGTCAGGCAGATAAAAGCTCTTGCCACCAAGCCTGACCTAAACTTGATCCCAGAACCTGTGTGCTGAAAGGAGAGTGCTGACTCCTGAAAGCAGTCCTCAATTGGTCAGGACTGGGCTGCCTCACTGCCCCTGAGCATTTTATAGCAGTGCTTCAAACTTCTTAAATTTATTTCAAAGTGATGACAGATTTTCTGTAGCATTCTAAGAAAATTATAAGAATTCAGAATATGCGATATTTTGAAGTTTATGTGTGCACACATGCACACATACACGCACATACACATATTTACACGTGTAGTACACACAGAGACACATAGACTCACACACACATGCACACTCGCATACACACACTCATACCCAACCACATGCATGGGTGCACACACAGAGAAACACACTCACAGGCACACATGCAAAACACCCCCAATAGACATACAAGAGAAATAATTTTTTTAATAGAGTAAAAATAAAAATTATTTTCTTTAAAAATTCTTTTCAAAGTCTGAAGAGGATAAGGAAAAACTGAAGAAGCTTATGGAGTTGAAAGAGTCTCTGGAATATACTTTGGATCAAGAACAGAAGAGAAGTGGTGCTTTAGAAAAGGAACTGACAGAGTAAGGTTTTAGTGTTTCTGTCTTCTTAGCCATTCTTAACTGAGTTAACTAATTGTACTAATGCCTCCATACAAGTTCATTTCTATCTGTATTTTCATAATTACCTTAAAATTTACTTCAGAAATAGACAAGACTGAAGGTTTTTTCTCGCTAAGGTACCACATTTACACTGATGTTTTCTGAGACCGTGCAGTGCCTTTGGTGTAGTGTGTCAGCTGACCTGTCATCAGCTTCGATGCCTCTCTCACGGCCCACTCTCCATCTCTTTCCTTCCTTTGCAGTGTCCTTCTTCTCGCTATCTAGGCATGTGATATCTTAAAAACCTATTTGGGGTTTTCTTTAACTATATCATAAATTACCTTTATGTAATTTATATTTTCTTTATCTCTCTCTTTAGTTACACAATTTTATCATGGAGAGAAACTTGTTCTGTGGGTATCTCCCATGTGTATATGAGGTTTCCATGATATCAAACTTCTGTTTTAAATTTTTTAAATACATAACACATACACATACATAGTATATAGTCATGTCATCCCTTGGTACTGGTACAAGAATGTAGACAGAGCCCTGACTCTGAGGGTCCTTCACTCCAGTTGACCAAAGGGTAGCAGGGCCAGGGAACAGAGCATGGGGAATTGTTCAGTGTACTCACACTGGGAAGAAGTTGTGGTGCCCTGCAGTCTGGGTACTGACAGGAGCATCCGGACTATTTAGAGAAGGATCGGGGGATGGAAGAGACACACGCATGTGGTCAGATTGGGATCCACTTGGGATCCAGTTGATCATTTTCTTAGGCACTTGGAGACTCTTACCAGTAAAGTGGATGCTGTCTAGGAAGAGCTTCAGCTGTTGTCACAGTGTGTTTATCGATAGTGTGTACTGTCCCTGGAATCAGAGGAAGTCTGACAGGGAAGATGAATTCGGTTCCCTCAGACTTAGAGTGATGACTGGAGAGTTCCAGGCACCACACCAGAGACGTGGAACATGGCATTGTAAAAGGTAACACTGGACAGTCTTTTGATTATCTTGTCCTTGAACATCTTAAAAATATCCTGTTACTCATGACACTGTGTCTTTAGTCTTAAGGGAGGATTGCCAGCTAGCTGTGGGTAAACTCCTTAAATGACTAACATGGCTTCAGACTTGAACAAGGATATGATCCAGCATTCAGGGTCACAGAAGGGATTGAGAATGACACCCAAACTTTATCTGCCGTGAATTTGCTACTGAACATGCAGGGGCCTAAACAAGGAGATGGGGCTTTCAGTAAACCTGAACTCTGCGACTCTGCAACTCTGCTATGGCATCTTTAGGAAATTGTATCTAGGACACTATAGATGATAGCAAAATCTGTGAATTCTTGGGTCCTTTAAATAAAATAGTATACTATTTGCATTTAACCTCTTCCCAGCTTCCAATATACTGTCTCTCCTCTCTAAATTACATAAAATACCAAAGCTAGCATAAAAGTTAATTAAATATTTGTTGTCCTCTGTTGCTTAGGAAATAATGACAAGGAAAAATGTAAACCCAGTTTTTCCTTCTTCACTATTATTAATGCAAAGCCAATTGAATTCTTAGATATGGAGCCCACAAGTACACAGAGCTGACTGGTTACCTCATGCCTACAAACGAGTATGACTTAAGTACAGGGAATTGAGCATCTGTGTTTCTGCCGCCAGCCCCCTCCCCCAGCATTGGAAATAGATTCTTTTCTCATTCAATACATAGGAGCACAGTTTTTCCTCCCTCTGCTCCTCCCAGTTCCTCCCAGTCTCTCCCCTCCTCCCCTCCTCCCCTCCACTCTCTGTGCCGCCCAGTTCCTCCCAGTCTCTCCCT